CCTCCATCACTTGCCTATGGACCTCGCCTCCTGTCTGTAAGGCGCATCGGTATTTGGACATCTGTGTCAGCCTCTAGCTCCTGCCAGGTTTCTGACTGGTCGAGTATTCCATGTGGTACAGATAAGATGATGATTTTCAAATTCTCTGGGATGGTTTCTGGACCTTTAGACTCTTGGAGGTAATTCTCCTGACAGCTCCAGATTGCTGCCTTATAACAGACAAGGGTTACCAGAAGGCTTGCCATAAAATTTCCCCTCTCTGCTTAACTTTGAGCCTTTCCTCGATTTCCCTACTGTTTCTCCCCTAATCCACACAAATACTCACCTCAGGGGAACCAAACACAATGCAAGACGTGTCTTATCATCGATGATGCTGGCCAGGCAACCATAATGAAACAGTTCTTTGCCTGCGTGTGCACGAACTGTGGCATGAACGGACTCCTACTCCTTGCATTTTCACTGAGTCAAGCGTTTAAGGACCGTCTGAGGAAGGAATATGAATCCAGAGTGTTGTCTACAAATCTCCTATTAAATCCTTTTGAAAAGATTAAAGAAAATGCTTAGCATCAAAACTGCAGAGTAGATGCCAAAGACTTGGGGGCAACTCCCAGAGACAGGGGTGGCGCTCCCCTTTAAGAAATGCTTCCTTTTGCTGGCAGGAAGGATGCCACTGTGAAAAATGGAAGCAGCAACTCTCATTCAAAAAGAGGTTCAGAAGAGTTCCATTCTGAATACATACAAGTTTCAGGAACATCACCGTGTGTTTGTATCTAATTTGCCTTTATGTACATTTCACACGATAATAATATATGTTCAAAAAACTTTGATTTGCATAAAGGGCCATAACGCAAAAATTCAAAGCACTATGTCATATTTTAAATGCCTTTTTCATATTTAGGAATACATGAAAGAATGGTGAGTCTTATAATTGATGCAGCCTTAAATTGGGGAAATACTAATCAGAAATATGATAGTCAAAGAGACAGAAGGCATATAATTAATGAACCATCTTAGCAACAGTGGGAAACTTGAGAGAACGTCATGACTTCTCAGTCTATGACTCATACCAGGAGCTCCCTTGGTGAGTAAGGAACCACTACTTGGTCATATCCTTGAAATGTTATCGACCTGAGTCTATTAAATATTTCCATTCTTCCAAAGTGTATGTATGTACTAGTATATACATATGGTATATACATATACACACCCATATTCATACATATACACATACACACAGTGTGTGTATGCACACCTGGTTTCTTTCAGATTTTCCTTATACTAGTATTGAGCACTTTTACTATTCACAGATGTACTTCATGCATTTCATTTGGTGCGAGCTTTAAAATTTTTTTTGTGGTGAACACAAAACTATATGTAACCTATGGGATCACCACGCAAAAGTAAAAATCTGGCATTTGATGAAATGCATGGACTGCTCCCCTGAATGATCAAACTACTCGATTTACAGAGACGGGATCTGCCCACAAACATCTTCTCCTATTCCCTCCCTGAGAAACACCTGACCTGTAAGTTCTATATATCAAGGTAACGCTATTATCCACCCAATTGCTTTGTCTCCCTGTTTCCCCTCCCCCACATTTTGCTGATGAAAAATGAGTCTCTCCACGGTGGGACAGCAACAGCGAAGCAATCCTGGCGGGCTTCGCTGCAGATGGGATCATTTCTGCACTTGCAGAGTGCGGTGGCAACACACGGCTCCCTTGGGCCTACCCGGCTCTTCAGCAGCATGACTGATGAACCTATACGCACGGAAGTCTGAGGGCTGCTGCCTTGCCAAGCACTCATCTTGGATTTTGCTTTGGGGCTTTATCTACCCTCCCGTACCCGAATCATTCTGTTGGGTTTTTCAAAACCTTGGGCAAAGCGACAATATCTGAGCACGTGCTTTGCCATCCCCGCTGCAAGCCCGCTGTTTTATGGCTAAACAGGCAGCGCACACTTCCGTCCTCAGCAGCAGCCTTACATTGTTCCAGCGTTGGAACCAGTTAGTGTAGACATGCTTCACACCCAGCCTATTTTTCTTTTCATTCACTTTGCCTTTTCCCTGCCAGAAGCAGGAAACAGCTAAAGTTTTTGAAAATAAGAAGTCACTTTTAAAAATGTATTCTGAAACATATATCGAGGATTACTATGCCATGTCTCGTGCAAGAGATGAAAAACAGTATGTGGACTCTAAGTAATAGGGCTCAACGTCTAGTAAGAGACACACATCTCCCGTTCCTGTACAAATTAATTGCAAATATTCTAGTAGTATGGCAGAGGCCTTATTAAAAGCTTTGCAGTGGTGGGGGCTGAGGTAGGATTTTAGAACGTGGCTCCTCCCAGGTAATTTTCTCTGGATACAAACAACCCAATGCAACAGCAGACAAATAAGAAACCAGACTAGCTGAGCCAGTGGTCCATCTCCCCTCTTCCCTCCAGCCCCGCCAGATGCACTGGCCCAGCTGCTGGTGTTTAGTGGGACAGCCTCTGTGACATACAATAGTAGTTGCCTTTAGCCAGAGCTCCGATTTTTGTTACGATGTGGAGATGCCATGCTTTTGAGACTCAGTAACCCAGCTCACTAGATAAAAATAAATTAGCAAATAAGTGCAATAACCCAGTGCGTGTCTGGACAAGCAGGTCAGCAACTCCTCTTGGGGTGGAAATTTTACTCCCCCCCCCCCACCCCATCCTGAGTGGGAAGAGGGGCTGGACACATAGGAAAAATGCAGAGGTGGCAAGCCTAGCCGGCCAGCGCTAGGCATGGGGAGGGCGGCATGCGTCGAGATCTTCACAGGAGAGGCGAATCGAGAGTGGTGTCTTGGAGGATGAGAAGGAATCTGATGAGGAAATGAGGCAGGAGGAGTTACTAAGAGAAAATAGTCTGAGTGATGGCTGATGATGAAAAATGAGGCTGGAGAGAAAGCAGAAGGGGACAGATTATAGGCAACAGAATCAAATTTGTGTTCCGGAAAGCTAATTCTGACAAATATGGTGGGTGGATTGATTGATGAGGACAGGGGTGGGAGAGAGGGAAGAAGGTATATTGCCAACATTGCAATGATCCAGGTAATGAAGGGGAAAGATCTCAAAAATAAATAGGCAATGTTGGCGTGGCACAGAGAAAAATAAATCTATTTAAGAAATGTTTTAGAGCCCTAACCGGTTTGGCTCAGTGGATAGAGTGTCGGCCTGCGGACTGAAGGGTCCCAGGTTCGATTCCGGTCAAGGGCATGTACCTTGGTTGCGAGGACAGGGGTGGGAGAGAGGGAAGAAGGTATATTGCCAACATTGCAATGATCCAGGTAATGAAGGGGAAAGATCTCAAAAATAAATAGGCAATGTTGGCGTGGCACAGAGAAAAATAAATCTATTTAAGAAATGTTTTAGAAACAGTACATCTCGCTCTTTTTAAAAAAAATATTTTTATTTATTTCAGAGAAGGAGAGGGAGAGGCAGACAGAAACATCAATGATGAGAGAGAATTACTGATAGGCTGCCTCCTGCACACCCCCTACTGGGGATTGAACCCACAACCCAGGCATGTGCCCTGACCGGGAATCGAACAGTTAACTCCTGGTTCTTAGGTCAACACTCAACCACTGAGCCACGCTGGCCAGGCCTACATGTCTTGCTCTTTATTCCAGTCTCACTGAGCATGTAAGTCACTGCCTGAGACTGCAGAGGCGGAGACAGGCCAGAAGTGCTGCTCTAAACGAGCTCCCCCCACAAGGAAGGAAACATCAGGAGCAGGAAATAAAGGATCCTGACCAACACTAACCTCAGCCAACTTGGAGTCACTGCTAAACTCTGGGCGGCTTATCTAGTGCCAGGCGCTGTGTGTGTGGACGGTCTCATGTCACTGTCCAAACTGGGTTTCACTGAGAGGCCATGTGGGTTGGATGGAAATCCTGACTCAGGACCAGTGGGTCTTCCTGCTACTCCTGTCACCCTTTTGGGAGCATAGAAATCAACCTGATTTCCTAATTTGGACACTGGGCTGCAGGAAGCTTCCTGAAGTTGCCCCAGGCCCCATCTCTAGACACACCTCGCAGTCATTTCCAGCTCAGGGTACAGCGAGGACTGGGTCTCCTCCGCTCTCAGAACTAACAAATATCATTGGGGTTTGGCTACAGCCAGGACGGTGGCCTCAGGAGGTGGGGCCCACGCCCTTTTCTCTGAGTCCCACCAACATTTTGGTCTTTCTTCCCCCCTGACCAGGGGTTTTACTTCCTTGCTCTTCTTCATCTGTGTGCTCTCCAATCTTTGATCCAATCATAAATCCTGCCCAGTACCCCGAAGAGCCAGCCCTTCAAAACTCACAGAGCACGCGCCCCTCTGCTTTCTGAGGCTGCCCCTCTCTCTTGAGGCAATGAATACTAAATGGCTGGAAAGTTCAAGCTTTGGCTAATTTAAGTTGAATGGTCTTTCCCTAAAATGCCAATCACACGGTGCTAGGATCACAAAGTCTGTTTAGTATCGTACCCCTGGTACTTAGCGAAGTGCCAGGCATCCTGCAGCAGTTTAGTACGTGTTTAAGCGAAGAAAAGCAAAGGCAGGAGAGTGAAGCTGGGAACTAAGTCTTATGCATGCATTGAACACCTACTACGTGACAGGCACTGCTATAGGTCATGAGGATACAACGGTGAATAAGACACACGAATCCCTACCTTCATGGAGCTTACTCGCATTATTGCTCCTATTATTAAGGAAGACAAAAAACAAAAGAAAGATCATTACAAATAGATAATGTAAAAAATAAACAGGGTGAAATGGTAAAAACACAAAAATCTGGTGACGGAGGGATGGGAATAGAGGATCCGAGCTATTAATCTGATTGCACTTTCCCTCAGACCCCTCCAACCCAGGAGTCAAACAACAAAAGTTAACAAAAGCAGGATTATTGAAATGTAAAAACCCTGTGAAGAAAGCAATTACAGAACAGCGTTTGGTATGGACATAATCATCATGCGGACAATGAGATGACACGTGGAGAGTTGTGGTGAAAACATCTTGGGTGTTTTATTTCCAAAGTGAGGCTCCACAGGCCTCAATAATGCAAAGTTCTTTTCATCTTCTCGAAAGTCACATGCCATAGAGCACGAAAGTTGTGTTAATGTCAGTTCAGTGCTTTCTATCCTATACCGTGCAGAATTCAACACTGCATTTCACGTAGCAGGGAAAATACAAGCATCCCCTTTTGCCCTAGATAAAGAATAATATTTTCTCATTTTGCAGGCAGTGTATGAAAGTGTCATTCGACCCTGTATTTTTACAGCTGCTTTGCATTCACTATTGGAGAGGCCCTACAAACATATGTTTCTTTCTTTCATTTCGACTCAAAGGGTGTTATTATTTTGGAATTATTCAAATTTAAGAGAGTGATAAAGGGCGTCTCTTCAGGGGTTCCTACTAAACAAACCCCTAAGTTCTTATTCCTTTAAGGAAAAATAAAAAGTTTTGGAGAAAAAAAAAACAAAGGAAAAAAGGTTTTGGATTATGAGCTTCGTATAGTAACTTCAAGTCCTTATATCTTGTCTGGCATTTAGCAGGTGCTCTGGAAATGGTGGCTGAGATGAACTGTTTTGGGAAGAGGCAGGGGATTATGATCCTCCTTATACAGATGGGGAAACTGAGGCCCAAAGCACTTGTAGGTGTGTTTGTACTGTGCTTCGCACTCTACCACGGGCTCTCACCCAAGCGAGCTTGTTAAAAGTCGGTCCTCGTGACTATCATATATATGACAGAGGGAAGGTAAATATTTCCGGGTAATGATGTGCTCGACATCCAGTGAGTTAGTTACTGCTGATTCCCCTCCACAGAGCGAATCAGTGTCTGCTGCTAAAGGACATCTAAACCTACTGTTGACAAAGTTCAGGTCCTCAGGCAACTTTGGAAAGAAAGCTACTCTTCTAAGCATAACAACAATCAGAAAGCTATTAGCAATCTTAGCACCAGAAAAAGCCCAGTAATGTAGAGAAAAGCAGCTCTCATACACTATTGGTGGTAGTGTGAATTGATCCTATTTTTATGAGGAAAATGTCTGAATAGCTACCAAAATCAAAATGAACCTATCTTTGACATAATTTACTTTATCAATGCATTCCCACTACAGACATATTGGCGCAAGAGAACATAGGTATGTGAGGAAAAGGATACAATAAATATAAGAATATGAACATAAGACTGTTCACTGTGACATTCATTGTTAGTAACAGGAAACTTAAGACAGCCTAAGGGCTCATCAATAGCTTGCTGGCTATACGCTCCACAAGGGTTATCTGGGTAGTGATACTTTATGCGGACGTTTGAAATATTACATCGGTTTATGTATTGACATGAAAAAAACAACAAAACGGACCACAATATAGTAAGCCAGAGAAAAGCTGCTTTAACAGTTTTATTTCCTTTGAGTAAAAATACTCATCAAATATTAGCGACGGCTACACCACTGGAAAGTGAGATGGGCTTTTTTTCTTTTTTCCTTCATTCAATTCCGTCCTACTTGATTTTTTATGGAAATAGATTATTTTTAAAATTCAAAAATGTAAGAGAAGCTGTCCAATTCTGGCCGCCTGAGATGCTTTTTGCTTTTTTACCCACCAGCAAGCAGCACCCAGGAAGTGGGAAGCAAAGGCCAGAGTGTTGCACAGCAGCTTCTCTGTTACCAGGCGCGCTTTGGGAACAAGTATTCTGATTAGTGAATGATTCTTACTCCCTTTCGAAGTGTAGTACCTAAAAATACAACATTGGGTAAGAATAGATACCTCGTTCTTATTCAGTCGGTACCTAATGCCCAGGACATTGAAAATGACTCCCTCCCCCCATTTTCCAGCCCTGGGTTCAATCATTCCACTGAGAGACAATCTTCAGCACTCCACCTCAATGGCTCACTCCTGCCAGAAATGGCCCAGCATCCTTACAGTAAGATAAAATAAGAGGTAAAGCATAATTAGCTGGTGGGCGACACCAGCAATAATGAGGTCAGTCTTGAACCCAGAGCGGAAGCGTTCCAGGATGTCTCTTCTGACAGCAGAGGAGATTCTGGATGCCCTTCTTCTCATCAGTGCCCCTCAAATGTGCCCGCGGGCAAAGGCACCCTAAGCAGGGCAGATCCTGTGCAGGAGCCAGGCCCTTTACTTTGGAAAAATGTGAGCTGCTACAAGAAGCCTGACGAAGCATCAAAAACAATGTTCCTACCAGGTGAGGGCCCGGGGGTGGAGGAGGGGGAAGGAGGAAGGGTTATGTGGGGCCACGTTTAGCTGAAGAGGTGCCTCCTGAATCTCTGCGGCCACCCTCGAGCACAGCGTGGAGCTCAGCTGCATCAACAGACCCAGGTGCCCTGCGTGTGCGGCTGTGACCTCCCACTGCCGGGACAATGGGGTGCAAGACAAAGGGCTGGGCAGAGGATCAGAAGACTTAGGTGTGCGCCTCAGTTCCAGGACAAGGTGCCTCGTTTCTCTGAACCACTATTTCCATAGCTGAAAAACAAGAATAGAAATCACCCACTGGCTCTGCCTCCTGGGTATGTTGGATGGTTTATAGAAAACAGGGCCAGAAAAGCATTAGGTAAATGAGAAAGCCCCATATAAATGCAGGCTGTATTCAGTAGCCTGTGAGATAGTTGTTGGTGATTAAAAAAAAAAAAGCCCCAAAGCTTGCTTAAATCACTCTCCTAAGATACACATGTGAAAGGTTAGTGAATTACCAAATAAATGAAGTCTTTCACTATGTTCACATAATTGTCCAACATAAGTCCTAATTATAGAACTCACTGTATCAGATACTCCATAGAGAACTGTATATAAAATTATAATTCTACATAAAAAAGTATACAAAATATAAATGTGCCATTATATATGACTTCAAAATATAGGACTAGATTATTCTTACAGAACTACTGTAGTGGCAACTGACCTTGTGAATGAATACAGTTATAGCAAAAGTTTTACAAAAGTAGCCTAAATCCAGCCTCCATCTCGCAACTTTAATACGTAGTGTGTTCCTTCCTATTTTGGACATTGCGTCTGAGAGCCATCCACGGCGCTCAGCTTCCTGCAGAAAACCATCAGCTCTTCTGGTCGGGGAGCTCCCGGGGGCAGTCCTCCTCGTTCTCCTCGGAGCAGGACAGGCTCAGCGCACTCGCCACGGGGTGGATCCAGGACGTGGTCTGTGTTACGTGACTTGAGGGGAACAAGGAACGCAGTTACAATCTGGAAGCTTGCCCCACCCATCCATGCAAGTACTCGGCCCAGTGACACCGCTTCGACCGACTGCAGTCCCTGGGTTGGGAAGCAGGTGGAACCGGATCCAATCTTTGTAATGTCTTACATGTGTTTTAAGGTCCAACAAAAACCATGTCTGTTTTCTCCTTTGGTAACAAGAATGGCAGGAGAGTGATTCGTCGTGGATTCCTTGCCTCTCCTTACCTGACCGTCACCAGCCACACGCTCTGTGTCTGCCTTGGGGCAGCCTCTCTGGACCCTCTTCCTTCCTCTCCTTCTCCGACGCTACTGCCTGGGTCACTGAATGGCTTGTCTCTCTGCCTCTATTCTAGTTCTTTTCTTATTCATGCTCCACTCCAGCCAAGAGGTCTTTCTAACGACAAATCCCTCACGGTTGCTCACTTGCTAAAAATTCACTGCCAGCCAGTGCCTTCTGGCTCGGATATGTACTCCATCCTATGAAACGCTTTGTTTTTTACCTGCTTCACCAGGGCTTCCTTCTCTGCGACAGTCTTCCTCTCCCACTGGGTTAACCCAGGTGACTGAGTCTAAAGAATCACATCTTCCTTGGCTTCCTCCCATCAGTGCCCATCTCTACCTGTTATTATGCCGTAGGATAAAAGCTGTTTATTTTTAGGCCTTCTTACTGCACATGAAGCTCTTGGAGGGCGGGAATGGATTCTTTTCTCCAAGTTTACGGGGCCTAACATGTTCTCAGAACAGATGACTAGTCATTTCCGGAAGGTCACAAGCAGAGGTAGGGAAGGTCACAAGCAGAGGTAGGGAAGGGTGTACACAAGACGCAGGGCATGTTGGGGTGGTGGTGAAACATCACAGAGGGCACCCTACCTGGTGGATGGCGTTTCTTAGCACTTGTAACCGACACACCTGCAGCTGGATGGGTGTCCTGAATCTACCGCTATTCGCACAATGCCTGGGTGCTAGACAGAAGCTTCTGGAATTAGGGCGATCTGTTTCTTTTCCTTGGATATTCTTTCTGGCCTTGGTTCACCCCACTGCCCTTATCCATCCTAGCTCAGTTTCCTCCACCGCAATCCTATCCAAACTCAACCTCAGAAGCAGCAGCAGGTCTTAGGGCAAGTCCTCCTGGGCTGGCACTTTGAGTATCAAATAGGATTGTGGTTCTGGACAGATCTCTTACATTACAGGGTAACATTTCCCAAAGTGTGTTCCAAGGGTCTTTACGTGAGAAGAGAATTTTATGGTCAAATAAGTTTGAGATATGATGTAGTTAGGTAGGTTTCTTTACTCCCGGATTTCCCAGAACCTTAAATATACGCCTGTGTTCTCGGACTCTCCAAGAGTATGCAATCTTTCTCAAACCAGCGTGCCCTTACGAGCACACACAGGGCTAGTGTTCTACAGAACACGATCTGGGAATTGTCACAAAATGCACTTGCTTTACTGGCTGTCGATGATGGTAACTGCAAATGTTGGACTTAGTACAAATGGTCACTTTCACTGTCATTACTGCATTTGGGTTGTTTTCAACCCTATACTCTAAATTCTATCCATATCCCCCTATAAAACTTGTTCAGCTTGTCTGTTTACATATTAAAAGTGCATTTTTCCATGGAAGAAGATCACTGATGGGTTCACGATTGGGTAGAAGAGTTTAGGCTGTTTAAGAATCAAGGTGAAGGTGGGAAGGCCCCGACGTCGTCAGTTGCACAGCCGCCGACTGTGGGTAAGTGGTACCGAGACACGTTCCTCTCTGGACAGGGATCCACATGACTGTTATCTCAAGTGGTTGAATGGAACTTCTAATTCGGAGGCTGAATTACTATCGCAGCTGATTCTGCACAGGTTAAGTCCATCGAAAGGCCTTTATAAAGCTGCAAAGCTGCCTAAACTGAAAGTGATTTCATATAAATACTAGTGAGTGTAACATAAGGGGGCGTGAATGCCACTGCAAGGGGAAATGAGGACGCATCGTCCATGTTTAGGGCTAAAGGGAACACCCTGATGAGACAGTTTTGCTAATTCTAAAATATTAAAATACTTTAATATTTATCAGCACATTTACAAAGAAGAGACTTTAAATGACTATACATTCTCCCTCCCCTTCAACGTCCTCTAACTGCCCTATGAAGCAGGTAAAATGGGAGCAATGACCTAAAAGGTAAGTCCAGGTGCATGCCTTCCTATTTGACTTAAAAAATTATATTCTCATGCTTTGAATATAAGTGCCCACATACAAACATTAAACTGACCATCTATAATAATAAAAGAGTAATATGCTAATTAGACTGGACATCTCTGGACGTCATTCCGGACATCCTTCCTGACGAAGCAGGGGCCGGAGGAAAGCCAGCGGTCCCGGGTGCCTGTGGGCGGCCCGAGGGAAGCCAACCTGGGTCCTGGGTGCCGGAGGGAAGCCGGTGCCGGCAGATGGGGGAAGGAAGGCCTACTCTTGCACGAATTTCGTGCATCAGGCCTCTAGTTTAAAATAAAAGCAAAATGTCTAAGAAAAAATGTTGGTATAGACTGAACAATATCTTAGGAAGTTCCATCAGAAAGTCATCCTTGCCAGTAACCTTCATTAAACACTTTTAGCAATGAATCAATACCTGATATTACTCCAAATAAAAAACAATGCCATAAAATATTAATTAATTTTATACTCCCAGTATGCTCTCCTGTACATTTTATTTTATTTTTTAAAATGTATATTTATTGACTTCAGAGAGGGAGAGAGAGACAGAAACATCAATGATGAGAGAGAGCCATTGATCGACTGCCTCCTGCACATCCCACACCAGGGATTGAGTCCTCAACTGGGCATGTGCCCTGACCGGGAATCAAACTGTGACCTCCTGGTCCATAGGGCGACATTCAACCACTGAGCCACGAGCTGGGCTCGTCTGGACATTTTAAAAACACACACCTAAATACCAAAAATGCAATTACGACAGCTACTACTAGAAAAAAAATAAAACCTCAGCAGCAGAGAGAGTGCTCTGCGCATCAAGCACACTTTTCACCCGGGTCTTCTGTAAAGACCTCCAGAGCCAATGCCTCTGAATCAGGTGAGGCATGGACAGTGCCTGGCAATGAGCACACATTCCCTTAATGACCGTGGCTCGCTTGGTGGATAACTAGGGCTTTCTGATGACTGTGAGAAAAGGTTGGAATTCTTCCTATGATGATGGAATGGGGCATCTGTGTGTTTACTGTTCAGTTTTTTATGTCCTAGTGAGCGCTGTTTGATGAGCTCATCCCAGATCGACTGGCTTGGCCAGCATACGAGCATGAGAAATATTTGCTCCCTGGTTTATGTGCTTGGTAATTCGACTGAGAAGAGAGAAAATAAATCAGCCCTGTTGATGCTGTTTAATTAATAAAGACCCCGTGGTTCATAGAATGAGATGCTGCTACTTAGTATGAAAAATGTAGAGGTCCGGAAAAGAGATGAGGCTGGCTGTGAAGTGAACATCTTCCCTTGGAACATGCAGTACCGCTGGCAAATGTGCCTGCAGAGAGTGCATCTGACCTGATTTGGGGAGCCATCAGCAGCCGTTCCGATATATTTGAAAATCTAAAAATGATCATACTACTTGCCTCTGAATGTTCGCCAAATCTGTTGTTGGAAAACATTAATATTAGATTTGGGAAGATGACTGTGTTGAGTTTTTTCTTTTCTATAATAATAGTGAATTGCAAGACATTATTTAGAGCTTATTAAAAAACAAAACAAAACCCTAACAGAACATGCTTTATTTTATTGGCAGAGAAATGCAAGTGAATTATTTAAATTTCATTATAATGACTCTCCTTGTGTTTCTTACCTTCTAGCATGCAAAATGCTTTCTTTCAAAAATTTAGGGCAGCATGTTAAGAGAAAAGTGGTTTAAAGATAAAAAGTCTACTCATTTTGTAGAAATTCATTCTTATAACTGTCTGTGATGAAAGAGGCCCTTTTGTTAATCTTCCATTGTAGATGGCACTATTTATATAACATTGTGAAGTTAACCAGATTGTAAGTATTATTTAATCATGTTTAAGATAAAGCTGCAGAAGCATGAGCCAAAGTAATTAACTTCCAATGTTCTTTTATTGGGGGAGGGGGGCACTATCTTTTTTTTTTTTTTTTAAATCATCACCCAAGGATATGTTTCTATTCATTTTAGAAAGAAAGGAAGGAAGGAAGGGACGGAGGGAGGGAGGGAGCAAGGGAGGGAGGGAGACTTTGATGTTAGAGAGAAACATTCATTGGTTGCCTCCCATATGCACCCCAGCCAGGGACTGAACCTGCCACCCAGGTATGTGCCCTGACCAGGAGTCAAACCCGCAACCTTTTGGTGTATGGGACAATGCTCCAACCAACTGAGCCACCCAGCCAGGGCAGGGGGTGAGCTAACTTAAGTATATAACATTCATATGAGCTAGAACAGTGGTACTCAACCTTCTGGCCCTTTAAATACAGTTCCTCATGTTGTGACCCAACCATAAAATTATTTCCGTTGCTACTTCATAACTGTAATGTTGCTTCTGTTATGAATCATAATATAAGTATCTCATATGCAGGATGGTCTTAGGCGACCCCTGTGAAAGGGTCGTTTGACCGCCAAAAGGGTCGCGACCCACAGGTTGAGAACCGCTGAACTAGAACATGAGAACAAATAAGTGAATATATGTTAATTCAATCTGCTTTTGCCACCAGTAACTTAAAAATACTAGAAAATTTTACTACTGGCCATAAACTGCAAGTACTAATGACAATAAAAGATTTATACTTAAAAAAATCCCAATTTAAAACAAATTAGCTGGTAAGAACAAAAAGCAAATCATGGCAATAAAATTATTAAAAAGTCAGCATGTAATCTTACCAGATACTGGTTATGAGAATGGCTACAGATTAATAATATGAAGTATCCATTCCAAACATGTGTAAGAGAAAATTACAGGCGGTTTATTTCCACTGATATATAGACTTC